TAGGTTTTCTTGTAACTGCTGTTGTCTTTCTTCTTGTTTCTTTTCTTTTTCCTCCAACAACTGCTATAATTTCTCTTCTTGTTTATTTTGTTGTTCAAGCTGCCACTGTTGCATGTTTTCTTGCACTGCTGTTGTCTCTCTTCTTGTTTATTTTCTCGTTCTTCTTGTTTCTTTTGCTGTTCTTATATTGCTGCCATTAAGTCTGCTATGCTGTAGTTTGATTTGCCGCTTCTCGTTTCCATTTTTTTTTCTGTCCCACTCTCTGACACCAATTTGTTAGTTGTTACTTCTCCGTTTGTTAATTGATTTTCCGTAAATTCGTTCCGACGAAACTGTGATAACTGTGAGATGCTACACTAGGAATCTGCTTTAGGATAATAGTGTCGTATTTCATTATTTTTATTTTGGGCTTTGTCCTTAACAAACCTGATTTTATTCTGCCTTTTACCCAAGCAGCCAAATGTAGATGCCAGCCATTCAAGTAAAAACTTAGACTAGCATTGTATGAAAAAATACCTTGTCTATTTGTACATTTACGTTTGTTCCATCCTTTTCTTCTGTTTCGATTTAGTTCTCTGCTTAACAATCAAGAAACCTATTGTCACGACAGCGGAGGTCACGCGACGCTGGGAGCATGCGCGCTGGAGTTTCTAGAATTATCGGGGGAACCCCGCGAATCTCCGAGTATTTACTAGACGCCCTTTTTTTTAGTATATATGCCTGGCAAAGAAAGCCAGAGAGATAGGGAGATAGATCAAAGAGATAGATATGTAGATAGAGATAACTGAGTCAAGCGAACAGTAGGCAACATAAGTAAAGTGTGTGAATCACTGTGATTTATAGCCTGTGTTATAAAGATTGTTAAGTTTAAAGTGACTGTGGAAATTCTGTGTATTACAAAGTTGTATCGAGAAAGAATAAACTAGTTTTAATTAAGAAAGGACTTGTATCGCTGAAGTTCCTCGGAAAGAATATTGTTGCATCAGCGAGGTCACGTGACTAGTGTCACGCCCCCTGCTTTCTGGAAATATATTCTACCTTCGTGAATTGTCGGGAGATTACTTGATATAGGGTAGCCTGGTATATATATAAGAAGGTGACGGCGTGACGCGATAATGTGTGTGTAGACAGTGAGTAATTGATCTGCAGTCAGAGAGTATGATTGAAGTTGAGCACGTTCTTTGTTATAGCGTGATTGTTGAAATTAAGTGTATCGTAAAGTTGTATTCGGAAAGAATAAACCAGTTTTATTTAAGAAAGGACTTGTGTCGCTAAAGTTTCGTGGGAACGAATTTACGGAAAATTAACTAACGACTGGAGGCGTAACAATACCATCTCATTAAACAAGTAAATTTTTTAATTCTGCTGTTCTTTTAATTGCACACTCATTTATATATGTCATTTTTTATAGTGAAAAATTGAAAAACTAGTTAATTATTAGTAAGAAAAACAGTTTGTTGGGTAGATGGAATCTTTCAAAAAACATGGGAGTCCTTGTTGGTGAAAAGGTTGGGAACCGCTGATCTAGACAAAAGTTATAAAATATTTTAAATACATAAAATTTTCCCTTATAGGGGTAAACCAGACTTTACTATCGAAACATAATAACATTGTGGTAATCTCAGGGTAAACTGATTTCTGTAAAGAGGTAACACAAACCACGAAGTAATGTTTATCTTAACCAATATGAATGAGTTTAAGCAAACAAATAGACTGGACATAATGTTTAATAATAAAAATGACAAACGTATATTTATTCACAAAGGCAAAAACACAATGTGTATACTTCTACTGAACATTGGATGAACATCTTTCACTGGACTCGTGAACTGATTAACTGTCTTTCTTAGCTCAAGAGATCTTCTCTTCAACCAACTCATTTAATCTTTTTTTTTGTCCCACTCTATACCGGAATATTTAAACCTGATGTATCTTATATAACATGGAGGGAGGCTATAACCTCTAGCTATAATTTGGCCTACCATTGAAGGATACTGCTGTCGATATTCTTGCACAACGTATAGTATTATAGCAATGGCTTTCATGTGTTGAAAAGGTATTATCTCTAGAAAATAACATAAAAAAAATCCTAGCTATGAAAAAGTCAAATTAGTAAGTACCTGAACCACTTGATATGTAAAAACAACATAGCTTCAGAATAAACGAATTTTTATAAATTTCTAAATTAGAATAAGAATTGTTTGTTGTAGCATAAAGCTACACAATGGGCTATCTGTAATATGCCTGCTGTGAGTGTCAAAACCAGGTTTTTAGCATTATAGTTTAAATAAGAAAGTTGAAAATACACATGATATACCTGCATACCACAACATCACACAGAGTAAGGTTTATGCGTAACTACACCATGCAACACTACTTTTGCTCACTTCAATCTGAGTGTAAGGATGTGGCAACACCTAGATATTATCCAATTCACCAACAGAAAATACAACTATTTATCTCACAACCTAACGAGTTATCTTTCATGTAAGAAAACACAAGTAATTCCCAATAAATTAATCCATGCTACAAAAGCTGTCCTTTCCAAGAAAACTAACTCATATAAGTTGAAATATCCGAAAAGCTTAAAATGAAAGGAGAGTGTATTCTGCACCTTTATTATTCAGAGTTAGCATTGCCAAGTGACTAAAAAGGCATTATTTAAAAAGCAGAAAAGCTGTCAACCGAAAACAGAAAAAATAAGATCACAATCATAGATTCATAGCAAATTACAATCTACAATCACAAAGAACAGAAATAAGTAACTCTTAATAACAAATCATGGAACATTAATAATCACCACGCACAGAAAATAAAAAATAAATCAGTATCACGAGCAACAAAAAGTAAAACATTTAATTAAGAGTTACAGAAAATTCCTCCCCTCTCTTTTTTTTCTAACTGATGTCAGTATTCCTGCTGAATACTAACTACACTGTATCTATGAGCGACTTGAAATGTCCCAATTCGACGCTAAATAGTGCTGTAACTTATATCTTGAATAGTGTAATTTGTTAGCTAGAGGTCGTGGATTACCTAGAAAGCTCCAAGGATGTGGAGTTCAGTTTTTTCTAGTATATTCGAAGCTATCCTATAAATACAAAATAGTTCCGAAGTGTATAAAGGGATAGAGAGTGAATCTATCAATGCATTAGCTATCGCAGCTACTATATATAACTAAGTTTATTGGTTTTACTGTAAGTACCATCATTTGTAACGTAGGCCTACAGCAATTTATTGCAGCGTACAAGTCTTTAAGGATGTAGAAACCTTGAAGTTGAAAACTTTTAGAAACGTCAATTGAAGAAATAAAAGTAAATTACTATCATTACATCTACTGGACATTGAATTATTTTCACCTGGTAATCTAAAAGAAGTCGGCAACGAAAGAACCATGCTACTCTCATTTTTATTATTTACAAACATATTTTTTACACTCAGGAACATTTCTAACTATACTGCTTACAGTATTTTCCGTATTCAACTTTTAAACTTTTTAATGGATTTTGCAAATGATTGATTTTTACTAAATGTATTAAATATATTTACCTCATATTTATATATATATATATATTTTCATTTATATAAGAAAATCGAACAATGAACATATATCTGTTTGAATATTATGACGTAATTTATACAGTCAAAAAAGGAAAAGCGATTACCAAACCAGCGACGTCATATATAGTAATAAGTTTACGCAGCGATATCGAAATTACTTGGACTGGTGTGTTGTGCAAAGAAGTTAAGGTGCAAGAAAGAAAAAAATGGCAACATTTCGTGTAGAAAACTTCTTCAATACATTTCATAATAAACTGTAAGTAAATTATAATTTATATAATCTTGTTACTTTTTACTCGGTAATTTACATTTTTAATATCATTAGTCAGTTATTCAGTATTGTTTTGTCTGTGAGTGTGATTAGGGACCTTTTAGTTTAATTATGCTGTTTTTAATTATGAACTTATATTAAGCCTAGTTAGGCGTTATTGATCATAATTCATATATAGTTACGTTTTAATATTTTCAAAGTGACATGAAATGTATGCCTAGTGTCATACAGGTTACATCGATCATTTATGATGCGAGCTTTGTTAGTATTACTGGGTTTAATATTTGTAGTCCAAAACACGTAAAATCAGGAGTTCAAGCATGTAACTTGTACATTGTGACTTGTAAGTATAACGGACATAGTAAAATTGGAACTTGTAACAAGCATTTCAAATTCCAGACATAGAATTCAGGAAGAAATTTCATAATTTTTTCCCTCCACAGTTACCATGTAATATAACACTAAACTTTATTTTGATGTAAACCTTGTTAATTATGTAGTCTTATACAATCAGTTTACTAAAGTTTTGTATGTAAGTGTATTCAAATAGCCACTTCAGTTGTTGCCCTAACAAACATGGGGCTGTCACAGTGTCAGAAACATTAAGCCTAACTCAATTTCAAGTACACAAGATTAAGGATCCATTAGTAGTGAAGACAAGACTTGGTTGTCAAGAGGTTGACTATATATATGTGTTGTGGTCTGGGAATTCAAGGGTAATTGGCAGTTGTTATAGGCAGATGATGTCAGTGAGAAATTGTTTAAGGATAACACTGTTGCAAGATTTATTGGTGACTTTAATATTAAAGAAGCTGATTGAGATTCTATGGAATTAAATAGTGAAGAAGAGGTTTCTTGAAGTGATTTAGTATGGTTCTCTAGACCAAATGGATAGAGAACTGATCAGAAAGGTTGTCCTTTTATATTCTGAAGACAATAGGATGAGGGGAACCAAATTTAAGATTTAGAAAAGATGACAAGGTTCCAATTAAGTTAGTTCAAGTAATATAATAATTGCATAGGTGAGGAAATAACAAAATGGAATATAAAGTAGTGGTGAAAAACTTGCCAAATTAAATCATTTTATTAATAAAACAAGAAAACAACATTTCAAGTAACAGCCCTTCATCAGGTTACCAGTGTCAACAATTTGTTTGGAAACGAGATGAGCTACCGTTTCCTGTAGTGAAGACCAGCTCTTTACAAGGAGTTAAGAGGAGCATCAGTGATTCCAAAACGTACTTACCCTCCACTGACACTTTAGCTACTCCTTAACATTGGCTTTGCCTTTCTAAGCATTGGTCTTGCATGCTTCAGTCTTTTATTACATTTCTCTCATGCTTGTCCCTTCACCTGTTCAATGTGGGATTCTAGTTATTTATGTGAGAGGAGGTAGTGTACCGTATCGGAAGTTATAATTTTCCTATACTGAAAATGTATTTCTGATAGGTACTTACCTTGTCACACACTTCTTATCATTCCTCCCCACTGAAAACTGGTGCTTCCATTTTCTGCCAAAACTCAAAGTGATAGTTCAGTAGATTTGAATAGAGGGAGTCACACGTGTCAAGAGAGTATGTAGCACTCTTATTGGTGAAGGGTTGTTGCATGATAATTTGCATGTGAGATGCATTGGAATTAGTCGATTCCATATGGGTGGGAGTGTCAAGGCTTGTGGCATGCACAAAAATTGTTTTTGCATATATAGGGCAGCATTGAATGAGAATAGATATTTATGTAAGTACCTATCGGAAATAAATTTTCAGTATAGGAAAATTATAACTTTAACTGGTGGTGATGAAAAGAAATGTACTTTATCTGATCAGTTTTTAAAAGTGAAAGAGCTTCTCTCAAATTCTATTTTATTGAAAAAAACTTCTAAAAGAAAATCTTGGGGAACTTGAGAGTAAAACCTGTTAACATTCATTTGAAAAGCCTGATGTTAAACTGTAACTTACAAGATACTGGAAAGATTCCTGAAGGCAAACACAGCCAAAACCATCATTAACAACTTGAGTATGTGAAAGATAATTTAGTGCATTCTCATTATGGTAAGAGTTGTTTGATTTATGACATCATGTATTTCTAGTCATTCTGGTTTATAGTACGTCTTCATTGATTTGCAAGTTACTTGTTAAATGTAAATTCTGATCTATGTAGAGCTTACTTTTGATCAAATTCTTTATAAAGGATTAGGCAAAGTGATTGTATTAATTATTTATTATCAATATATATATGTGTGTGTGTTTGTGTAAAAATATTCTAATATCTTTGGTATATTTTATGGAATATCTTTCAAAATATCAATTTGATCATGTCACACGTACCAGTAGTTGTATTCAGTGAACTTTTTTAACAGGAAAGAGAACATTCTTATTCTACTTTGACTTTCCCATTTTAATTTTAATCTACCACTTTATACTGTCTAAATGTAATTATATTTCATGACTACTTACTCCTACTATTGAACATTGTGCCATCTGATTCATGTAATAGTTTCCACTTGACAAGCCTTTTCTCATCTAATATAGAACATGTAAAAATTACCACCTGGCAAGTGTTTATCCCATAACGTTATAATTTGGGTAACTTAATTCATGTGACAGTTATCGTGACTTAAGTTGGAAAAAGAATGTCATTTTGTCTAAATAATTGTTATTTTTTAACATATTAAACTTTAATGTCAAGAATTAAGAAATTAGAAACTACAAAAATGTTTTTTCAGTTGATGCAGTTTTCAAGTTAGTGTATTTGAGTGGTAAAAATGTTTACTGTCATTTTCAAGTTAGTATATTTGAGTGGTAAAAATGTTTACTGTCATTTTCAAGTTAGTGTATTTGAGTGGTAAAAATGTTTACTGTCATTTTCAAGTTAGTATATTTGAGTGGTAAAAATGTTTACAGTCATTTTCAAGTTAGTGTATTTGAGTGGTAAATATTGTTTACTGTCATTTTCAAGTTAGTGTATTTGAGTGGTAAAAATGTTTACTGTCATTTTCAAGTTAGTGTATTTGAGTGGTAAAAATGTTTACTGTCATTTTCAAGTTAGTATATTTGAGTGGTAAAAAGTTTACTGTCATTTTCAAGTTGGTATACTTGAGTGGTAAAATGTTTACAGTCATTTTCAAGTTGGTATATTTGAGTGGTAAAAATGTTTACAGTCATTTTCAAGCTGCTGAGTAATTTGAAAGGTAAGAATTGAGTGTGATTGTTTAAATATCACCCGATGAAAGGCTTAGACTCGAAACATTGTTGAATAAATCACCTTCTACATTACTATCTTTCTAGTGTTAGTTTTTTCTCACTTCAGAACAATGGTTGTCAAGTAATTTGTCACCTGAGATACTGTGGTGATGTTTGTGTTTTTTTTTTTGGAGGGGGGGGGGATAACATTATAGTTAATCATGAAGGGCTTATACATAGAGTAACCGAGTTAGTATTTATGGTATAGAGTACTCGCAGAGTGATAATGTGTGATGGATTTTAACGTAGTGAGGAACCTGTGAGAAAACATCTGAAGAATGTGTACAGTTGTGTGGCAATATCAACATTGGCAGCAGCCGGTGGTGGTTATGTTCATCTTTTCACCAACTTGTTTCAGGTATAGTAGTATATGTTGCAGAACTTTGACATTCTTCACAATTTAAAACACGCAGTATGTATTAAAATCTCCCCCCTTCCCCCCCAAAAAAATGTGTGGGTGTGAAAATAGCAAGTTTAACAGATAGTGAAGTCAAAGGTGTAGCATGAAAAAGGTTAGACGATTTTTTTCACAGCTATCTTTTTTCCAGTTTCGAGATCACTAAAGAATAAAACCATTTAAATGAGTAGTTAATGATTTTCAGCAGTAAATGTTTTTGACTATAAAGAAAGAATTCTAATGGAACTAACGGAAACACAAAGAATGTTTAGTTTGCTACTAACACCACGTTGAGAATTGATGGAAAGTGATTGACCTTAAGGAATTCTTCAAAAGTTAACATCTCTAAAAATATCAAACTTTTTAATCTAATATACATCTTGTGTTTCTGAAAACTTTGGAAATACTACAAATGATAGTAATTTCAAATCAGAATAATCTATATTGTTAGAACAAAGCTAAAAATCAACCTCACCATCATTATATTTAATTAGATAAATATATTAAAGGCTATGTATTCATAAAAACATTCAATAGATACATTCAGTTCCTCTTATAAATACCTGGAAGATGGGTTAGAAATTTGACAGCATATTAATCACTAATTACATTTTCCATAAAATGGATGTTTAGTTGTTATGGACAGTATCACAACAACATTGACAGTACTGTTCAAAGCATGGTAGAACAGTGACAACTTTTATATGATCCTAGTATCGGCAGCTGTCTAATAAAACTAAAAATTATCAACTTTTAGCTCCATCTCTTGACCAATTTGAGATCTAATTACAGCCTTGGCTACTGAGGATTCCCTCTTGTTTTATATACATATTCAGTTAGCAGCAATAATCACTGTGTCGTTAGAATTAAAATCAATAGAAGGCTGAAGAAAAAAGTTGAAAAATAATATAGTATCTAGCTTAACTAAAGTATAATTTGTTATTGTAGGTTATGCTGATTTTATTTTTTCACCACACACACATACACACACACAAAATAAAGAATTTTCACTCTACTGTGTCAATAATTTTTTCATGTGGAACAGAATTTAAAGCAGAGATATTTGTTAACTCTTATTGTCAGATGTTTAGAGACTATAGTTTTTATACTAATACCTTTAATTGGATCTTTTAAAACAGTTGTAAGACTACTAAGTTACCCTTGTGAAGCCTGTAACAGTGGAGCATTCTGCTGGATTGTAACAACATTTGTTGGTATCTGAATGCTACTGACTACCTTCGCAAAGAAAATTTACATTTGTGTGATGAATTTTGCACACTCGTTGTGTGTACTTTAATTCGTTTATTACTTACAGGTGTTTATTCCTCCCTCTTCATTATAACTTGGTTATTGGATGAATTTAATTATAGTTCACAAAAGATATTAAATACAATTTTGATAGTAACAAAATGTACACTGTTTCGACAAGGTTTTGTTACCATCAGGTACGAGGAGTTTACCTAGACACAGGAATATTTATATATTGATGAAACTAACAAGTCATATGACTGGAGATCGCTGAATTTCAGTATTGAATAAACTGACCATTAATTTTCTCTTGGATTGATGCATGTTTTATCCTTATTTTTGCATTTTTTTTTAGTCTGTAATAAAGAGAAGTAAAACTTCTATTCATCGTGTACACGTAAATTCCTTTTTCATGAAACCAATCTCTACCAGTGTAGTGGTGGGGGTAAGTATGAACTAAGGAACATGTAATTAACATTAAAATATTGAACATTTTAAATCTAATATACATATTGAACACAATATATCTTCTCCAAGTGTTAAAAATAAACTTCCTTTTATTCAAAGAATTTTTTTTTGTGTGTGTATGATGTCTGATCAACATGTTAAAAGTATTACTGAATGTGTGTTTAGTATGTGCCCATAACAACTATCAATTATTTTTGAATCATTTGAAGTGGCTGTTGTAGACACCTGTGGATGTAAAATGAGTTACAAATAATATATTACTTGTATGTGTGTGTGTTTGTGAAACTGGTTCCTCCATTCTTTGTAAATTAACTTGTTCAACATAAGATTTCCTGCTTGTCAGCAATTATATTCACGAGACCTTGAAAACAGTGACTTGCAGTTATCAGTGGTGTAGATGTGCTAGTTGAGGTAGGCAGTTTTTTAGTAAAGATCATAGATAACTACCTGAGTTTTTTATTATGTTGCAATAATACACGTAATGTACTGAGTATACGAAACTTTATATCTCTATATATGGGCACTAAAACTGTGGTGAACGTATATGTTTACGAAAGGTTGGGTGAAATTTATCTGTTATCCTGTTATGTAGAAAAATGTATGAAATATATGTAGGATTTTCTTTTTTTAATTTAAACAAACCTGAACAATTTAGAAAAAAAAAGTACATAAAATCAATTCGTAATGTATATTTTACAGTTAATGTACTTACTGTAAACTATCAGATGATGTGTTAACAAGTTCAATATATTACAGTTAACCTACTTACTGTAAGCTACCACATGATGTGTTCACAAGTTCTAGTATAATAAAATGTAGTAGATGTAAAACTAATCCATAAAAGATTTATTACAATTAACCAGCATTGGTTATCAAACATGTTTACTTGATCCATCTAGTAAATTTTTTTTTAAAGCAGACATAATGGATAAGTAACAGTTAACCTACTTACTATGGATTACCAAATAATCCACAATGGATTGATTACAGTTAACCAACTTTGGTTACAAAATGTGTTAAGCTGAATCATCTGCTGGAAACCTAATTCACCCTGGAAGCATGAAAATTACCCCCCTGATATATAGAATTACTTTCCTAACCTTTAAGACATTATTTAAAACCTATCTAAGTATCTTTTCTTCAAATATACACAGGAGCTCCTTTACAGTAATCTCAGTTAGTGAATTTTACAATTTGTTTTAAACTGGCATACACGTAGTGATCCCTAGGTGGCTGTTTATGATTCTCTTACAGGGAGGACTTCTCAGTGCATTGGCTGCACTTGCCTTTTTGGCTCTTCTCCATTTTACTCATAATGATGGAAAAAATGCTGGTATGCGTCTGAGTTTTATGGTGGGATTTGCCTTTGCTACAGGTAAGACTTCATAGAATATGTATGAAGTTTATAAGTCATGTTCTGTATGTGTAAGTGGTGTTTTCATAGAACAGTTGCTAAGGTACAGAAACAGTACCGATAATGTACCTTATGTAGAACAGTTGCTAAGGTTCAGAAACAGTACCGATAATGTACCTTATGTAGATCAGATGCTAAGGTACAGAAACAGTATCAGTAATGTGCCTTATGTAGAACAGTTGCTTAGGTACAGAAACAGTACCAGTAATGTACCTTATGTAGATCAGTTGCTAAGGTACAGAAACAGTACCGATAATGTACCTTATGTAGAACAGTTGCTAAGGTACAGAAACAGTACCGATAATGTACCTTGTGTACTAATTGCTACTCCTTACGTAACTGTTTTGTTTAAATGGTCTAGAAAGGTTATATAAGATTCTTTTTACTGATTAGAAATAAACTACTTGTGGGTGAATAAAATATTTTACCATCCATTTTTTTAAAGAATTAATGTGATTAGTCAATCAGTTAAACAACAGTTAAACAAATAATGAGTTCATAATAATTTCATGCTGTTTCTGTGTAACTTAATTTGATTATTTATGGTTAAAAATTAAGTTAATGTTGGTTGATAGTAACAGGAATTGATGTAAATTATGAGAAGAGAGCAAGTTCAGAGAACTATTTGTAGTTTTACGTTTTTTCAATTAATCACCTTTAATGATTCTGTAGGTTTGGGCTTGGGCCCCCTGTTGAAAGTGGTCATTACGGTCAACCCAAGCCTGATCTCTCTAGCATTCTTGGCAACTTCAACTATTTTCCTGTGCTTCACTCTGTGCTCACTGTTCAGTGAGAGGGGAAGTTGGTTGTTCCTTGGAGGTATGTTGTGTTACTTAATTTTTTATTTGAAATATAAATCTTAATTTATTTCTACTCACTAACTCTTTCGACGTGGGGTCGGTCAATTTGACCGAGTCACGTGACCTTCTGTACTCGTTTAAATTAATACTTATAACTCTCTATATATTGGGTATAGCTTCACAAAATTTGACAGTCTTTCACATACAAAAAGTCATATTTCTTAGTGAAGTATTTTTAATAAAATTAAAGTTTTGTCCATGAATATATT